AGTAGCTACACAGGTAAAACGAAAGTGAAACACGCGAAGATATGTGCTCATGATTTTTTTTATATACTAAGCCCTACATAATGACTTGCACTTGGCACTCTATGTTGACGTCGCTGAAAGGATTACATTTCTGAATTCTATATACGAGCGAGAGAGAGAGAGAGAAAGAGAGCACCCTGTTTCAACGTAACACTGGACTGTCACAATGTACCATAACTGTCATTGCTAACGTAATGGATGCGGTGCACTAATACAGATGTGAGACGACATTAAAACTCAGTTGTTTTATTACAATAGAAGGACATTGCAGTTGTCGTTGTTCTGAACATGCAGTGATATTTCAGCAATAAAACCGTGTTCAAAGACCTACCGTAACAGCAAAAATCCCATGTAATGTTGTGACGTATTTTTATTTTATCATCCGGCCGTGAAATATATAATTTATTCTCCATTGCAGGGAAGGTCTTCGGATAATGTATACAATTCCGACCAGTGGACAATAAAATTTAAACTGTACCACACACAAACTTACCTATACTGGCATTGCTATGACAGATTTTCTGGATGCAAGGCAAGTTTTTGATTCCCGATGCTATAATGTTACTATATCTCGTGCAGTTGACCACGTTCTGTTTTAATTTAATGTTATTATATTAGATCTTCATAAGATTAAAGGTACAGGAGGATTACTGTTGACCTGAAGTTTATCCTTGAAAGAGTTTTTGATCGACTGATTTCCTTTCGGGTCACAAATTAGTCTCGAATTTGTCGCCATTCCTGATGTGGGATTTCGATGTTTTTTACATGCGACATTGTTTAATATTTCATGTTTAGAAGAGTAGTTTGACGATATAATGCTGAGATAAGGCAAAGATAAAGCCGGAAATTAAAATCCCTCTTCGCCGGCATACAGTAGTTTGTACACTTTTCCAAAGAGAATGTTAACTTTTTAAATTTGGATTTGGATTTGAATAAAGAAAAGAAAGAAAAACTTCGTTTATGGGCTCTCAAACCCAATATAAATATTTTATGACACATAAAGTGCAAGGATATAGCCCATAAGCCTCACTTACCATAATAATATACATTTAGGAATCCTTTTGATCATTCTTCTAAAGTTCTTTATGTACTGTTTCAGACATTTTCTAATGCTAACACGGACACTAATACTATTGTAAAGAACACCATTGCTCGTCCCTTTTTGTCCAAAGGGCTTCGTATATACACACACGCCTGGAACAGTGACTACCCGGCTGTGAGGATTGAAGTCTATGGGTATAGATCAGGTAAGGTCATTTTATCCCCGAATGCGGCGGCAAGAACGATTTTTATCTCAAAGAACGGATCGCAATTGGCAGTTTTAACCCATCGTTATTGTGTTTATGTCACCACTTCAGTAGCTGAGCATGTGCACCTGCCTATAAAATGTTTAAATTTGGTCTTAAGGACAAATTATTCTGCCTTGACTTTGTGACTAGTTTCCGTAAGTAACAATGGCTTCAGTGCTTCCATATTGTGACTCCAGGTCTCCAATCATATCAGAATCTATCGGACACCAATTGCTCACCCATCAGCGTTACAAGCCAGTGGTTTGAAGGCAATCTGTTTTTGGCGTCAAACTGTCATCGATACGACTATGGACTAAACTTTTGGAAATGGAGTTTTCCAAATAGCCGTTTTGAACAAGTCCAACACGTTGACGGGACGAGCAGCTACAGGTATTGCTGGGCAAATTAGGTGATGTTTGGAAGCAATAGAAAATAGATGGACAGGCAATGTGATTGCTTCTTCCGTGTTGTTGAATTATAAGAAAGTGCGTGACAGATTATAAGGATAAACAAGAGCAACATACTTAAAATTTATGATGGTCATTAGATATATTGATACAACGTTGCGAAGATGAAATATTTCCTACCATCTTTTATATTATACAATGAATATGTTAGTGAAAGGTGGTCTTATGATACAGTATTTTACCCATGCACACACAAAGGAAAAACGTTTAAAGTAGAAGTTCGGTAACAGAGTAATAAAATAAAACATTTCATTTTATCGCCAACTAGAAGGCCCACTGCAGGCCTTCTGGTATAGTAGGTATCGCCCTGCATGTTGATAATAGAGTTTAAACATATTAAACGCAAATCAAATTTATTTCAGACACTTCAACTATGGGAACTTCTTCAAAGCAGGAGGGAAACTATTCTATGCTCATCCAGTTGCATCAACTAGTTCGGGCGACTGGACAACAAACTCCCCTATTTACGTGTACAACAACGGACAGTTCGAGTTCCACGTGGGCATTTCGGGCAGTTCCGCAAGACAGATTACCCCCTTCAGGCAGGATAAAGAGCAGTTTCTCTTAATGAGTAATTTAAAGCATCCGTCATCCACTTCTAATCCAGAAAAATACACTTATAATAGCTATGTCTATAAGTGGACCTAAAAAGACCTACATCTACTACCCTGTATATATATATATATATATATATATATATATATATATATATATATATATTGTGTACCAAAGTAAAGTATTCAATAGTTTTGTTACAGACAACTAGCGGATCCATTGGTCAGTGTACATCATGTACGTTACATCATCTCTATCTATCTATGTATCAGTGGACCTGGCTATAAAGACATTCGCCATAGTTTCTCTCTTTCTCTCCGTCACAATCGTCAGCATTTGCCTCTGCTCATGGTGTACACTTGTCAAAAAAACTAAGCATATATTAAACTCTCTTTCAACCTTTCTCCATTATGACATCTCTTTCATAAAGAGTAAGAAATAATGAAATCGCCTGAAGTTGTATAAAAAAACGTTATTTTTTTAGTACTGTGTACTTGCTTGTTTGTGAATAAAACGCATAAAAATAAGCCTTGTACTTAAACTTTTAGTCGCTGCAACTACACGTATGCTAACGTAACATAGGACACATCCGGCATAGCCCACATATAGAATATCTTTCCAGGGCCGTAGCCTGGGCAAACTGCCAGGGGGGGCAGTAAGCGGACACGAGGGGGCTAAGCCACCAAGGGGGGGGGTGTCCCCCTCCCACGGTGTGGAAAATTTTTAAAAACTGTATGTATAATACTGCATTCTGGTGCATTTTAACTGTTATTTATTGCTCAATCAGAAGTCAGAAATTGCCATTATTTTTTGCACCTCANAGGGTGTGGTGTGTAAAATTCCAAATTCCAGGGGGGTCAGCGGCCCCCCCTGCCCCCCGGAGGCTACGGCCCTGCTTTCCAAATGTTGGAGCCGCTGTGAGTCCCTGCAGAGTATTTGATATGTTCCTCTGTTAGATGGCATTTATATCAATGAGGGAAAAACGTGGTTGTATGACCATTGCGATTGAAGCACATCTTCAAATACGAGCTGAATACTTTAAAATGTCGGAAGATTGCTTTTTAACAGAGGGATTTTCAAGGTCTTTTCATAAGTCATATATTTACTTTCATAATTTCAAATTAAAATTCTTACTCTATAAAATGCTTGCCTATGTAACGCTTTTTTCGAGATCAGGAGGTCAGATGTGGGAAAATGTGGAATACAATATTACAAGCCCTTACAACAGACTTAAATTTTACCCAAAGGCTACACGAGCACCCGGTACTTCGCGGCACGATTCTTTCAACATTCCGAGTTGGAACAGTGATAACTGTACTTACTGGGGTCGATTTAGACGATTAGTTTTTATCAATAAGAACCATAAGTTCATGGTTCCAGTGAATTGAATTTTCTGATGTTTTAGTGATAGGCCTAGTAATAACTTAATTTGGAACAAAAATAATAGTAAAACAGCTACGCTAAGCTCTTGTCACAAGAGCATCACCAGGCTGAATGTCCACAGGTCGTTGGGTATTGGTAGACCTGTGAACGATTCTCACTCGGGGAAGTAATTGGCGGAATGATCTCGTTAGACATTGGGGGTGGGAGGAAGAGTCCACGGCCATGGGTGAACATTGTCTTGTAGGCCTAGGATGGAAGTCAAAGGACACATCCAAAAACAGGCCCCACATTGAACTGATTTTTTTTTTCTAAAGACGGCAAGGAGCGGTAAGATGATATATATGCCATGTATTAGGACAAGGACTAGACAGAATGTCAGATCATGCTAGATTTTTGGGGAAAATTGAGGAAATATTTTATGTATTTTTGTCACCCCTACCTTTGTTCCCCATTCAGCCAGTGTTAGACGTTAGGAGGCCAACTTCTACTGCATATGCTTTGGAAGATACATTGTATCAGTTTGTCTGATTAATTGTATTTCCCATATTGCACGCAGCCGTGACCTAAAATTTCTTTGCCTACCTCAAATGAACATACCAGTAACTGTGCTTTGGAAAATCCTTCAATCAGAATTTAAACTGCGCATTCATGCCTAGTTCCTTTTTTTATTATGTGACAAATTTCAAGTTCTAATGGGTTTATTTAGGGGATGTGTAGCCTAGGATCCAAGATACAGAATCCATTGTGTAGCAGAGTAATTTTGGAATTTTCATGCTGCAGATCCACTGACATACCTTTGAACCCTCACATATAAAAAAGGCGATATCTTTATCGAAAAAAAAAAAAGAAAAAACTTAACAGACAAAATTCCTGAATCAACATCTTATGCACTGCACTAACAGCAAAGAAGTGTCAGCACGGCGACAATTACGACAACTGGGTGATATTAAAGTGTTTATGCGAGCTATCTGTCTTCCGTTCGAGGCTCGTGTGTCCTCTCCTCGCACCGAGTGTCCTTATTTAGCTCTGCTCTACGTCGCCAGATCCGCTCTCCGTATTCACAGGTCGAAGCTCCTTGTGTAACTGTGTGGGTATATACAGTAGTCGTAGAAAGGTGTGTAGGTGAGTCCGCACCCTCTCACGTCGTGGCTCGAACTGCTCTTAGTCTAATCATTTACTGCACTCCCGCCAGGTGGTGTAAGGCTCGTCTCCGTAGTTCAGGGAGTGCTTCCGGGACAATCACAACAATATCAACAATGGATACTAGTTTCATATCGACAACCGTTTACTGGTACTTAACCGATGAACCAACAACGCTCGCAGGTTTGTCGGAGAGCGACTAGGGAAAGGTAATTTTTATCTCACTTAGTAAATGCACACTGAAACGATAAAACCTCACAAATATACTACTAGCGAACCTCAATAATATGTTGTAAGGAAAAAATCTGCATTGTTTGGAAAATACCAATTATGAAGGCGTAATCTTGAATCTGAATACTGCGACGGTTTCAGTTAAACATGCATTATGAGGCGAACTAAAGCTATACTTCATTCTTACAGTAATTCATTCCTACGGTGTCTTATACTTTAACATTGGAGGGACGGTGGGAGTTGAATATCAGAGGGATATTAAGAATGAGTTATGTGGTAATTTCCCATTGGACATGAACTGCCACAGTGATAGAGATACAGTCATCTACCATCGTCAAATACTGATACTAAATAAATAATAAATAGTTACCTCAGTTTTTGGCTTAACATGTGGTGAGCATGAAAACCCTACAAACTGAGGGAACTACTACTGCCTCTGCTTACCACAGTAAGGCTTAATGGCAGGCTTAGTAAAAACGAGAGGTTGAGAAAAGCCCAGTAGCCTGTCAGATGCAATGTTACCCCCCCCCAAAAAAAAAAAAAAGACTAGAAAACACAATGCGAAAAAGCTATGTGCACTCCGACCTGCATGGTAAGGCTATAAATTGAAGCAACAACTTTTGTATCAGCTACAGTGTACATACCTTGAAAACTCATAAGGTTGATAGTTGAAACCCCTCTTTCTGTGACAATTGAGACAAATCATTATCTATCAACAATTTTAGCAATTTTGCATTCATTATTGCCAATGTAGAGGAGTTACAAATAAATGCTTTCCCCTTTTTACTTGTTAAAGGCAATAATATAATGGAAGATCCAGAAGAAATAGATTTTGATGAACAGTTACGCCAGGAAGAATATGTCAAGAAAAAAGAAGAAGACTTTATAGCTAAAGAACAGACATACACAGACAAGGATGGCACTGTATTTGAATGGGATGAAGACAAGAAAGCTTGGTTTCCAAAAGTTAGTAAATTCACTATGTGAATTGTCCATATTTTGCTTCATATTATGGATGTCATAGATTTCGATATTGATCTACCTGAGGAATTAAGGTGTAATTTTTGTTTGTTCATGGAAAATCATAATGATACAATGAATTTACTCTAGTGTTAGGAACTACAACCTGCAAACTTAAATACTTGACAAAGCTTTGTTTTATTTTCGTTCACTTTGCCTCCTAATGGACCTTTTGTAGGCTATTGGCTAATAAAGAATTTGATTTACAGCAGGTTAGACATAAAATACACTGCTAACCTTGTTTGCTCCAAGTTACAGACTTGAAATGCATTTGCAGTGTTTAAGAGATTTTTTATCTCTTGCAGATTGATGATGACTTCTTAGCACAGTACCAGATGAACTATGGAGTTTCATCAGACAAAGATGGTTCTTCTGATGCAACGAATGTGTCATCGGCTGAAGCTAGTACTGCCCCATCATGGGACACTAAAAACCCACCAGACCCTAATGACCCCAACTATCAGTACTGGTACTGGTACCATTATTATCCCACAGTGACCCAAAAAGGGACATGTGGTGAATCAGGTGCTGAGCAAAAAACAAGAGATCCTGAAATTTCATTGAAGTCTGACACAAATGACCAAGCCCAAGGGGAGGTAGAGAAATCAGAACAAAAAAGCGGAGCTGATGGTGCATCAACAAACAGTCAAATTCCAGATCCCAGTGATCCCAATTATGCATATTGGTATTATTATTACTATGGACATCCGGGTCAGACAGAAGGGAAGACAAAAAAATCTGCAAAAAGTGATGATAAGGATTGGGCAGATGCACACTCACGTCTAGACTATTATGATAACCACTTTGCTAACTACAGTGGTGCTCAAGGTGATGGAGAGAATAAGGACAGCACTGGAGATGACTCTGGCCAAGACAAGGGGAAGGGAAAGAAAGGGGAGAAGAGGAAAGCACCAGCTCATCATGAACCACCAAGTGAGTTATCTAAAACTTATTTGAATTTATAAGTAGTTATAGGGTCCATATCTACAGTTTGTATTTGAATATGGTTATGAGTGTGAATTGCAAACACCTAATAAATCGGGTATCAATCTTAGCTTCTGTAACATAAACGTGCTAACTCTGTAAGCCGCCATGCTGGAACACACGTGTATTATTCAAGTCGCTTACAACATTGTAAAATAAGAGGTGGTCGCTTAAGACAAATAAAATGTTACATCTCCCTCTTTATAATCAACTAAGATTAATAAAGTAAATAAAAGCATGTAAATTAAAATAAATTCAGTTTTTGGTGTTCACAGTTCTTTGTGAGTGTTCACTTTAACTTAAAGTCTTTCATTGTTCAATGTGAGAAGAGCATTCAGAGTCTCTGATCTTCTAGTCCTTT